CAACTCACAAGCCACCACAGTACAACAAACTAACAGACATTGGAGGAGAATATTGAAAGTGCCATGGGCTGCCAAATGAACCAACAGATCTATGTTGGAAGAAGTGCAGCCAGAGTGCTCCTTGGAGGCCAGGATGGCCAGACTTTGTCTCCCATACTTTGGACATATTGTCAGGAAGGACTAGCCGATGGAGAAGGATAGCATGTTTGGTAAGGTGGAGGGTAAAAGAAAAAGAGGAAGACCCTCAGTGAGATGGATTGGCAAAATGGCATCATCAATGGGCTCAAGAGTGACAACAATTGTGAGGTTGGCCCAGGACCAGGCAGTGTTTCATTCTGTTGTGCATAGGGTTGCTATGAGGTGGTACCGACTCGATGGCACCTAACAACAACAACAAGATTGGAAAGTTAGAAATCAATGACAGGAGGCAGTTCTGTGCAGGAAGGAAAACAGGACTGGCAAGGGTCCCTCAGGCTGAGTAAATCCTGTGTGGTCGGCAGACGGCGCCTTGAGCAGCTCCAGGCAGCTCTGGTGGGTAGTATCCTATTGCGAGCTTGAAAATTAAACATAGCATAAGGCCGCCTTTACGACTCCATTAAAAACAGCTAGGGGGGAAATGTCACGAACACAAATCCTCGTACAAAGAGTCACACTTTAGACAGCAGCCCGGTTCTAACATGAAAATCCATCAAAATTACCCAGATTTGGGTTGTATAGGTTGTGTTGTACGGAAAAACGGAGACCTCATGGCGCAGTAATTGAAGCGCTCGGGTGGTAAATGAAAAGCCCAAGGTTTGAATCCACCAGCTGCTCTGTGGGAAAGATATGCAGTCAGCCTCCACAAAGATTTACAGCCTTGGAAACCCTGTGGGCAGTTCTGTTTGTCCTATAGGGTTGCTGTGAGTCTGCATTGACTCCACAGCAGTGGACTGTATGGAGAAAGGACTGCTCTTTAAATGTTACAATTACACTCTGCTTACCCTAAGAAAGAATACTGGAAGAGAACTTGGTTGAGGGATTAGAAGTTTCAGGAGTCCTACCTCCCTCTCCCTTTCATTTATGCTCAGATGAATGTAGTCACTGAAAATACTGTCTCTCCCTTTCTCTTTGCCTCTTCCGTCTCTGTTCAATACGCAGGTGAATTTATTCAGCACACAGGCACACATAAAACAACTCCCCTCTATAATACCGCACCAGGTGAGAAGCACAGGTCTCTACAGAGCATTAGGGAGCACATGGAGAAACACATTAAATCCAGGGAAGCAAGAACTCGAGGTTTCAGGGAGAACATCTGAGCTTGACATTGAAGAATGGATTCTATCTTAGTTAGCTAATGTTGCTATAAACAGAAATATTACAAGTGGATGGCTCTAACAAACAGAAATTTACTCTCTCATGGTTTAGGAGGCTAGAAGTCCAAATTTAGAGTCTGAATTTGGCTTCTGGAGGGAAGGCCCTTGTCTCCTTTCAGATCTGTAGGCCCAGAATTCCGTGGAGATCTCCTTGTATATTGACATCTATCAGTCTCTGGATCTGGGAGCTTCACAGGGTAGGGACCCCAGGTACAAAGGACATACTCCACTCCTGGCTCTTCTTTCTTGGTGGTAAAGGGTCCCTCTTTCTCTGCTCACATCTCTCTCCTTCTATCTCTTATAAGATAAAAGGTGTTTCATGCCACACCTCCCGTGCATCAGATCAGGGTTTTGGTGGGATTAAGGGTGGTGTATCCCTTGAAGTCCTGTGTAGCAAAGATTTAAAGCCTCAGAAACCCTATACAGAGTTGCTATGAGTTGGAACTGACCCAATGGCACTAAACAACAACTTCAAAGGTATGCACCTGCACAGGCCTTTGGGAACGCATAATCTTTAACACCAAAAGTCCTCAGAGGTCTTCTGGGGAGCAAGCCCATTTTCCCTAGGAATCTTCTATATGGCTTCCAAATTTCAAGCCCTTTGGGTGCAAGGGAACCTACTGGGTAGACACAAGAGTGGGGTATTCAAAACATTGAGCAAGTCACTGAGCTTCAGTTTCCCTAAGTGCAAAATGGGGACATTGACTTGTCTACTGCATAGAAAAGGCGCTCTGGAACGTGGTGGTTATGAGTCAGGCTGCTAACCTTAAGCTCAAGCAGTTCGAAACTACCAGCCATTCCATGGTAGAAAGATGAGACTTTCTTCTCCCGTAAAGATTGTACAGCCTTGGAAACCCTACACAGAGTCTCTATAAGTCGGAACCAACTCCACAGCACACCACCACCACCATTACGTAGATAGGATTGCTGTGAAGTCCAAATGATAAAAGGACAGTTTTATAACTCCATAGACAAGAATCTCGCCCAACCTAACCCACCACCACCTATCCATTCCATTGAACCACGGACCTTGCTGTTAGCAGCCTAAAGCATAACCCACCAGGGCTCCTACATTCAACCTTGTTTGTTGGTTAGTGCTGTGGAGTCAGTTCCAACTCATAGCGGCCCTATGTAGGGTTTCCCAAGGAGCAGCTGGTGGGTTTGAACTGCCAACTTTGGGGTTCTCATAAATCCCATAATTTCAGTGAGTCTTGGGTGCTCTTCCAGTAAAAATGGTTTCAATAATTATCTATCTGATATGGTATAAGGATTAGCTAAAATAATGGTAGTAGAAACATATGTTGTTGTTGTTAGGTGCCATCGAGTCGGTACTGACTCATAGTGACCTTATGCACAGCAGAACAAAACACTGCCTGATCCTGGGCCAACCTCACTATGGTTGCCACACTTGAGTCCATCGATGCTGCCAGTTGGCTAATCCATCTTGTTGGGGGGTCTTCCTCTTTTTCTCTGACTCTCCACCTTACCAAACATGATATCCTTCTCCAGCGACTGCTCCCTCCTGACAATATGTCCAAAGCATGAGAAACGAAGTTTGGCCATCTTGGCCTCTAAAGAGCACTCTGGCTGCACTTCTTCCAAAACGGATCTATTGATTCTTTTGGCAGCCCATGGCACTTTCAATATTCTCCACCAACATCATAACTCAAAGGCATCAATTCTTCTACAGTCTTCCTTATTCACCGTCTAGCTTTCACATGCATATGAGGTTATTGAAAACACTATGGCTTGGGTCAGGCGCACCATAGTCCTCAAGCTGACATCTTTGCTCTTCAACACTTTAAAAAGGTCTTGTGCAGCAGATTTGCTTAATGTAACATGTCGTTTGATCTCTTGACTGCTGCTTCCGTGAGTGTTGATAGTTGATCCAAGAAGAATGGAATCTTTGACAACTTCAATCTTTTCTCTGTTGATAAGAATGTTGTTTATTGGCCCAGTGGTGAGGATTTTTGTTTTCTTTACATTAAGATGTAATCCATACCGAAGGCTGTGCTCTTTGATCTTCATCAGTAAACGTATAGTAATATATAGATTAGTTGTCATAATGGCTGAGCAAAAGGACACAGCACTACATATATAAATAAGGTTTCACTGTCTGAAGATACATATGATTTGTTCCATTAAAGGTTCTTTTTAGGAAAGACCAGCAGGAAAAAAAGCAAAAACAGTAACGGCAGACTGATTCACAACTACAAGAACAAGCAAGTTGTTCACAAATAATCAAGGCAAGTTTGCATCAGGGCAAACCCGTTCCAGGACTAAGACTCAAGGGGATACATGAGCAGGCATGTGGTCTTGCTCTCAGCACGTTGGTCACCAATAAGGGGTAGTGGGGGGTAAACAACAATGAAATTGTGAGCTAAGTCTGACCGCATTCAATAGACTCATGTTAACCTGGGTTGAGACATGGTTGGCCAGCAGTATGGTGAGCCCTAGGAACTCCTGGGCCTAGGGACAGGGACATGGCCACAGAGGACTAGAGTGGAGAGTGAACTGTCTAGCTGATATGAAGTGAGGGGAGATGCACAAGAACACCCATACTTGCAGATAGTACCCATTTGACCTGGCTTCAATGGCTGGATGAGTAGAACTCAACTAGAGGAAGAAAAAAGAGGGAAAAAAAGAGTAATCTGCTACAATTGGATGAACTTGACCTATGCTTGTGGGTCTAGTAGCTAAAAAGAGGGCAAGAATCTTTACAGCGAGGATCGTTCCCATCTCCTCAGTACACAGGGTTGACAGGTATGGGCAACTTAGACACTGGTTACCCAAAATGTGTGTGGGGGGGAGTGGGGGTGGGGGTGGAGGGCTACAAAGGCACTAAGTGACTGGTTTACAAGCTTTCTAGAGGGAGCCTAGTTTCAGAGTGCGCGGGCAAGGTAGACTCTCCACTGAATGGGTTCCAACCTGTCTGGATGGGGCTGGCGAAAGGAGATGGGGATAAGACTCTTGTGGTTCAATAGTGAATAATTGCTATCAGGACTGATTGTAAATGTTTCAAATATAAAGGCAGACGTTTTGTAACAAAAGGAGGGGAGTGGCTGATCTTGCAGTCCAGGTGTGGAGGACCCTGGGACCATCAAGGGAGAAGAGTGGAGTGCGGGACCCTATCCAGAGAAGCATCAACGCCAAGAGACCGAGGCAGAGACGATGTCAGGGAGAGATGGAGCGGCTGGGGACTCTGGACTCTGGAAGGGAGAGGGTCTGTGTGTTGACAGCCAGGGGGCAGGCTTGCGGGGTGTACCCCTTGGCAATTTGATGATGCAAGCAGGGAATTGTAATCATTACAATGAAGCGACATAAAGATAGGATGAATGTAAAGCTAATGTTCTCCCATGTAAACTATCACACAATTCACAATAAAAACTTTTTTTAAAAAGTTCTTTTTAGGAATTGGCTAAATAGAACAAACAAATGGAACAAAAATAACCCGTACACTAGACACACAAAGTCCATCAGCAACAACGCAGATGGGGTCAGCCCTCCTATACGCAGGCCACGCCCCTAGTCGACTCCAGATCCTGCCCATCCGGTTTACTTCCCTGTCCAGGCCCCGCCCTCAGCCAATGGAACGCTCGACATCACCCCGACGCGCCTGCGTAATATAAGCCGCAGGCGGCCAGGGCGATGAGGGTCCTGGTACGGTGCTGCTGGGGCCACAGGCCAATTCGCCGCGCCAGGGGCTTGAGGTTGGCTCTGCAATGGCGAGCTCATGCCGGACTAGGCGGGGAGAAGGGCTTGGGCGCCGGAGCCCGCGAGAAGCCCCCTTGGCGGGTGCTCTTCTTCGGCACTGACCTTTTCGCCCGCGAGTCGCTGCAAGCGTTGCATGCCGCCAGGTACCCGGGGTTGGGGGGCCCGTTCGTTGGAGGCGCGGACGCGGAGCCTCTGCGGCCGTTCCCCACAAGGGGTTTGGACTCCTAAATCGCGGAAAGTAGCTGCGCTGGAAGGGTTCGGTCCCTGATCTTGGCTCTACCAGTCGCCCGGAAGGTGTGCCTCATCCGCTCTTGTGCCGGATCGCGTCTGCTCTACACCCCACTCCCAACTCCAGGCCCAGCTTGTCTGTGCTAGCGTTTGCTAGTCGCTCACTATGTGTACATTGTCTTCGTCCTGTCCCTCCACTTCCCTGCCTGTTTTGCATGTGAGGAAACTGAGGTTCACAGAAATCAAACGACTTGCCTAGGGTCATCGGCTGAGCAGGTTGAGATTCAAACAGGGTCAGACTTTCTATTTTCTCCAACTGCCTCACACGCTTAAAATTTGTGCCCTCCAATACTTGTTCTTGGGGTCCTGGTGTGGCGCCGTAGGATAATCAGAGTCTGTTTGAACTTTGACGTCGGTGCTTCAAACTCACCAGCAGCTCCTCAGAAACCCTATTCAGGTCGCTATGAGTCGGAACTGACTCAGCACACAACAACAACAATACTTGTTCTTAACAGGTGCAACATCCCTCAGCCCATTCATTTATTTGTTCATATTCTCTATTCAACATTCCGTGTTCTTCCAATACGTAACCCAGTTTCTGGAGTTGAAATAAGGATGAATTCCAAAATGAACTTTAAAAAAAAGAATAAATCAGAACTCTTTAGGTAAATAGTATTTATGTAATTTTAACAAATCTTGTATCCTTTGGGGGAAGGGGCTAATTTTGTAATGCAGCCTGTCCTGAAAGCCCATGATGGTATTAAGTATTGTTGTGTAATGCCGTCGAGTCAATTCTGACCCATAGCGACTCCGTATAGGGTTTCTAAGGAGCAGCTGGCGAGCTTGAACCGCCGACCTTGTGATTCAAACTGACTTTGCAGTCCAGCACGTTAACCCACAGTGCCACACCAGGACTCTAATTCATAGTGGCACTGAGGCTGTAAATCTTTGTGAGAGCAGAAAGCCTCATCTTTTGCCCATGGATTGAGACTGGGCTCAATCCATCGACCTTGTGATTCTCGTAGTCCAGGGCATATCCTATAAAGCCACTACACTGCCTGAAAGTTCATGGTATATAATAGCTATTTCCATACAGACTGCTCTGCCTCTGTTCCTCCCAGTGTTGGTTTTTTTGGGGGGTTGTTTTGTTTTGTTTCCATTTATTTCCTTACTCCCTATTACTGACACACATCCATATTAATTTTTGTCATTAGCTCACTGTATCCATCAAGTCTTCCTTACAAATTTTTCCCAGCAGGCTCCATCACCCCACCCATATTGACTCTCATCAATTTCTTGTATCATATTCCTCCTCCACACACTCCTTTCTGTATGTACACAGACTCTGTAACAATCCCTTCATATGCATAACAACAAAAAAGCACTTTCCGTTTGTTGCTATTTTCTCATACAACTACATGCATCTGCTACGCTTCTGATAATGCTCCATTTGGCAGTGCCATTACTCTTGCACTTTCTTTTCAATGCTCTTCAACATGTGCATGCAATAAACACAAAGGTACAGCCCCTGAGCAGTGGAATACTATGCATCAGGTAAAAAGAATGAGGCAGTGCTATGTATATGTACAGTCATGAAATAATGCCCATGATGGGTTTTTTTTTTCAGGAAAAGTATTTATTGTTTAAATAACACATGGTTATGTACAAAATTAAAAAGCTTCAAATGGATATTCAATGAAGTTAGCTCTTCCTGCTTGTTGTCTCACCGTTCTCAGTTCCTCTCTACTGAGATAGCCACTGTTTTCAATTTTTTATCTTCTAGAAGGAGTCCTGGTGTGGTATTGTAGGATAAGCACTGGACTGCTAACCACAAGGTTGATGGTTCAGATACTCCTTGGAAACCCTATACAGGTTGCTATGAATCAGAACCAACTCGACAGCACTTAACAACAATTCTTCTAGCAATATTATATGCATATACATATATATATGTGTGTGTGTGTATAACCAGTAAAAAAACACAACTCACAGACTCTCACATTTCATAATAGATGACACTTCTGGGGGGAAATGCAAAACAATATGTATAATGATTCCAATTGTGTTAAATGTCTGTACAATCTATTTATGTGTATACATGCGCCTGGAATCTCTAGAATCATGCTGTCCAACTGGTAGCCACTAGCTTTAAAAACAGTTGCAGCAGTACATTGACAGGAACTCATGGAAATCCAAGACGAATTCAGAAGAGGACTTGGACTGAGGAATATCTTTGCTCATCTCAGATGGATCTTGGCTGAAAGCAGAAAATACCAGAAAGTTTATTTGTGAATTATTGACTATGTAAAGGCATTTGACAGTGTGGATCACAATAAACTATGGATAACATTTTGAAGGATGGATATTCCAGAACACTTCATTGTGCTCATGAGGAAACATGACAGTGGTTAGAACAAACAAGGGGATACTGAATGATTTAATCAGGATAGGTGTACGTCAGGGTGGTATACTTTCACAGTCCTTATTCAGTGTGTATGCTGAGCACATAATTCGAGAAGCTGGATTATATGAAGAGCATAGCATCAAAAGTGGAGGGAGACTCATTAACAACCTGTGATAGGCAGATGACACAACCTTATTTGCAGAAAGCAAAGAGGACTTGAAATACTGATGAAGATCAAAGACCCAAAACCTTTGGAATTGGTTGCGTCTCAGTGTAAAGAAAACAAAAATCTTCACCACTGGAGTAATAAATAACATCATGATTAAAGGAGGAAAGATTGAAGTTGTCAAACAATTCATTTTGCTTGGACCCACAATCACGCAAGTCTGCTGCAGAAGACCTCCTTAATGTGGTAAAGAGTGAAATTCAGTTTGAGGACTAAGATGGACCTTACCCAGGCCATGGTATTTTCAGTTGCCTCATAGGCATGTGAAAGTTGGGCAATGAATAAGGAAGACCATAGATGAATCAATGCATTTGAGGTATGGTATTAGAGACAAATATTGAAAGTAGCATGGACTGCCAGAAGGACAAACTAATCTGTGTTCAAAGAAGTATTGCCAGAATGCTCCTTAGAAGCAAGAATGGCAAGATTTTGTGTCTCCTACTTTGAACATGTTGTCAGGAGGGACCATTCCCTGAAGGACATTATGCTTGGTAAAATGGAGGGTCAGTGAAAAAGAGGAAGGCCTCCAAGAAGATAGCTGGGCACAGTGGCAGCAGTAGTGAGCTCCAGCAGAACTACAGTTGTGAAGATGTGCAGGACTAGACAGTGTTTCGTTCTGTTGTGCATAAGGTTGCATGAGTCAGAACTGACTTGATGGCACCTAACGACGTGGCTTTCTAAACTTAGAATAATTAAAATAAAAATTCAGTTCCTCAGAGGCACTAGTTTTAATCATTTAGCCTTAACTGCTTCATGAGTTTAATCATAAATATCGTATTTTTACTCCAATAACACTTGTGTTATGGTTTTTTTTTTTTGGCTACTGCACAGTCCCCCTCACAAATTAATTTCCTATTCATGCTGTGTGCCTTGTTTGTGTGGACATGTTGTTTGGGAAAATACGGTATACCTTAGAGGTGTGAAATCATTTATCGCTGCGTCATTGTAACACTAACTGTCCCATTCTCTTCCCATCTTTCCAATTTAGGGAAAACAAAGAGGAAGAGTTAATAGACACATTGGAAGTGGTCACAGTACCTTCCCCATCACCAACAGGCCTGCCGGTGAAGCGCTATGCTGTGCAGTCTCAGCTGCCAGTGTATGAGTGGCCCGATGTCGGACCTGGGGAATATGATGTTGGAGTAGTGGCTTCTTTTGGCCGACTTTTGAGTGAGGCCCTTATTCTAAAATTTCCCTAGTAAGTCTTAGTTCTAAGGAAACACAGTATAGGAACCTTGGTTTTTATGAATGGTCCTGGTATCTAAAGTATGATGACTTGAAATCTGATTCTACTTTCTTTAATATTTTCACTTAAAACAAGACACCGTTAGTGACATGAATTGTTGTCAATATATATTAAGCTCCTTATCACTCTATGAGCTCCTATCTAAGCTCATTTCAATTCCATCTCCATATGCTGGCAGCTGACCAGACTGCTCTCCAAACTCCAGGCCCTTGGTACCCAACTACCTCCACATCTTTGCTTGGCTGTCTAATAGACATTGCACATTTAAAACCACATTCTTAAACTTTCACCAAAATCTGCTCCTCCTCAGATCTTCACCTGAGTAAATGGCAACTCCGTCCTTCTACTTGCTCAGTCCCAAGACCTCGGAGTCATCCTTGATGCCTTATCTTACATCCCATATCCAGTTCATCAGGAAAGCCTACTGACTTTGCCTGTAAAATCAGCCTTGAGTCTGACTATATCTTATCATTCCCACTACTGCCACACTCATCTGTATGGTTGCAGTAACCTTTTAACTGATCTCTACTGCACCCAGTCCTCTCAAATCTTTTACCAAAGTCTCTTACCAGCAGCCAAAGTGGTCCTTTTAAAGCATCATTTCCTAACATGTCACTCGTCTCCAAGTCTGGTATTTTTCCATCTCACTCAGAATAACAGTCCAATTTGCTATGTTGACCTACGAGACAGTGTATGGTTTGGTCCCATGCCAGCTTTCTGACCTCATCTTCTATTGCCCTCCCCAGATTCACTCCACGTCAGCCACACTGACCTCTGCTGGGCTGTGAACTGGCCAAGCCTTTCTCTCCCTCAGACCTTTGTACTTACTATTCCCTCTGCTTGGGGAGCTTTTCTCCCATGTATCTGCAGAACTTATTCCCTTACCATCTTTAAGTCTGTGCTCAGGTGTCACTTGATAAGTAAAGTTGCAGCCTCCCACCCAATATTACTTTTTCCCCTTCTCCACTTTATTTTTACCCATAGCACTTAGCATCATTTGACTAACTTTTTTAGAAATTTTGTTTTTTACTCCTTGTCTCCCATTCTGCACATAAGCTCCCTGAGGGCAGAACTTTTTTTTTCTGTGTTTGATTCCTTGACATATATATCCCCAATTGCATATCGTTTGTGCTCAGTAAATATTTGTTGTTTGAATAAAATGGGTCTGAACTGCAGAACTTAGAAATGTAAAAGTTTTTTACACACATATACACACAAGAACACACTCATACTGAAGGAGACAGCATGAAGCTATTAACAATTTGATAGTATTTAAATTGCTCATTAGTGACTGATAAGTGTGTTAGAATAAATACATCATTTGATGGGGATTCCAGAAGCTTGTTGTAGGCATTCTGTATGTAAACTAGGAATCCTGGTGTGGCACTGTGGGTTAATGCACTAGACTGCAAGTTCGGTTTGAACAGCAGGGTTGGCCGTTCAAGCTCACCAGCTGCTCCTTGGAAACCCTAGACAGGGTTGTTATGAGTCAAACAGACTCCATGGCACATACCAACAACAACAGTATTTAAACTAAGTAAGGGTAGTTATATGACTAAATTATAAATACAGTTCACCTCGTCTGTGAGGTGCATAAGGTTTCAGTGGTTCTTCTCATACACACTTTTTGTTTTTGTTTTAAAAGCGTGAGATGTTGTAGAACATCATTAGAATAGCAAATAGTTAAGTTCTGTTTTAATTGGGTTTCGTTATGCTAAGCGTGAACTTACCTCTGACTCCCTCCTATTAAGTCATGTAAGACTAGAATTAACTGTCAGTTTTTTAAAATTCTTGAGAAAGTTTGATGATGCAAGTAGCATGTGTATGTGTTACTGTTGTTGTTAAGTCACATGTTATGTGTAGGAGTAATTGAGATGACAGAACCCAGGTGTAAGCTAATTTCTACTTTTCTGACTCAGTGGCATATTGAATATTCATCCCAGTTGCCTCCCGAGGTGGCGTGGTCCAGCCCCTATAATCCATACAGTGCTCCATGGAGACACAGTTACTGGAGTGACAATTATGCAAATTAGGCCTAAAAGGTACAGCATATTTTCTTTTCTTGTGATTTTTGTGATCTTAAATGTTGATATCAGTTTGGGGGCGGAACTGTAATGGGCAGTGCTCACTAATTTCTGTAATTCCAGTTGCTTCTTTTGCTTTTGCCCCGTTTCTCTTTTATCCTGATTTGTAATACAAGCCACATGTCTTTTTATATTTTATCCAGTGTCTCTTTAAAGTGCTTATGAATTTTTTAATTGAAATAGCTTACTAACAACTGGTCTACATCTATGAAATATAGTATGGAAGTGAGAGATGGACTTTTGGGTTAGTTATGGCTTTGTTCTGCTGGCCTTGGTTTCTAAACTGGCCAAATTTTTTAGAAACCTGAAGTAAGAATCCATTGTGTACTAGTGTGTAATGTATCATTTAATTGTTTTCTCTCATACCTGCTGTCTCAGAAACAATTGTTTAAAATTGCCTGAATTATAAAATTCTTACTTTTATCAACTCGTCTCTGATGTTGTTGTTGTGAAGTGCCATCGAGTCAGTTCTGACCCATAGTGACCCTGTATAGGGTTTCCAAGGAGCAGCTGATGAGCTTGAACCTCCGACCTTGCAGTTCAAACGGCTTTGCAGTCTGGCGCATTAACCCACAGGGCCACACCAGTACGCCACAGAAAAGGGTAATTCATGAGTTTACAGGAACAACAGGATAGCTGGGATTTGTGTTAATGTACTTTTTGGTGGGGGTGGGGGGAAATGGAGTAGATAAAAAGTGTACTAATCCTAAAATATAGATGATGTGTATATTGTGTTTCATTCTGCTAATCATTATTTTTGTGAATAATTTTTCATAATAAACATTGTGTTAAAGCTTACAAGTTAAAAAATCGAATAGACAGTCCCACTTCAATTAAAACAAAGCATGTTACTGATCGAAACCTATGGTCTGTGCTAATAGAAGGTGATGGAGAACGTAAGACTTAGAGGAATGCACGTGTACTTTCACCTACTTAAATACTCAATGATTACAATGAGGCCAAACTCTTGTCCTTTGAAGAAGGGCATAAAGTATTTATTGTGACTTTTTTAATTGTACATCCTTGATAAAGAAATGTTTTGTGCTATATTGTCATTATACAAATAGACATTTTCCATACTATTGATTACTACTAATAAAAATATTTATATTGTAATTAAACTTTTGATACTTAACTGTATATTTTTTTCCCTTGGGAAAAAAATGAATCTAAGTACTGGCTGGCCAGTTTTTGCTTTCCCCTGTTATAAACTGGCATTTCTTCCTTACAAATGGCTAACAAAGGCGCTCTGGTAGCATTGTGGTTACGAATCGGGTTGCTAATCTCACTGTCAGCAGTTTGAAACTACCATTGGTTCCATGGGAGAAAGATGAGGCTTTCTGTTCCTGTAAAGATTTATAGCTTCAGAAACCCTATGCAGGGTTGCTGTGAGTTGGAACTGACTCCAGGGTACATAACCACCACCACCATTGGCTAGCAGGAGTCCTGGTGTGGTGCTGTGGGTTAATACGCTCGACTGAAAAGCTGTTTTGAGCTGCAAGGTCAACAATTCAAGCTCACCAGCTGCTCTTTGAAAGCCCTATACAGGGTCACTTTGGGTTAGAACAGACTCGACGACAATTAACAATTAGGGCTAATAGTCAAATTCATGGCCAGAGTTAAAAAGCTAGCCAACTTTGTAGTATGTAAACATTCATGTAGACAAACATGTTGATCTTAAGAAAGAGTAAGTAATCATATATTATTTGCTTTTGATTTTTTGCTAGGTTTGATGTAGGCCCAATTCTCAAACAAGAAACTGTCCCGGTACCTCCTAATAGCACCGCAAAAGAATTGGAAGCAGCGTTAGCAAGACTGGGTGCCGACATGGTACTGTTTTCCAATACCCTACCGCTTTTTATTTGTTTAAAAGGTTCCCGTATTGATTACAATAAATGGAACCATTTTGCAATGTATCATTTTAAACTGCTTTTAAAAAAACAAAAAAGTAGTTTCTATTCTTGGATTCCTAAAAATTAGATCAGCTTTGAGAACTGTATAGAGTAAGTACTTAATAAAGTCTTTCAAATGAAACAGGTAGTCTTTATACGGTCCACTACATAAAAGGGCTTCAAAATGTTCCTAGAAAACTGGAATTAAATAATAATGTAATTTTCCAATGAACTTTTTGAAAGCTCCCTTGTATTTCATAGCGAGACCTGTGAAATACTCTTCTTGGTTTTGCTCTGCTCCTTCTCATGGTGGTGTCCTGCTTAAGGGCTTAGCTGCTAACTGAAAGGTGAGCAGTGGCTCCGTGGGAGACAGAACTGCCAGTCCGTTCCTGTACAGATCAGTTGTGGTTGTGGTGGTGATGTGCTGTGCAGTGGGGTCCAACTCAGAGTGACCCTGCAGAGGATTTCCGAAGCTATAAATCTTTACGGGAGCAGAAAGCCTCATCTTTCTCCCGCAGAGTGACTGGTAGTTTAGAACTGTTGACCTTAAGGCTAGCAGCCTGACTCTTAACCATTAGGCTACCAGAACTCCTGTAAAGATTACTGCCTGGGTAATCCTCTGGGACAGCTCTACTTTGCACTGTAAGGTCACTGTGAGTAGCACTGTATTCTACAGCACACACTAACCCTCATTATGTACCTGACCTCCTTGTCAGATTGAACTAACAGCCATTTCCTAAGTGAGTCCTAGCTTTCTTCCCACTTTTGTGTACTCACTTGTGCCTGTCATTTACATTCCTATGCACTGGAATTCTGCTGACCTCCCTGCTGATAAATGATCTCTTGGGGTCTCTCTGATTTTATGTCACTCATTGAATCTGCATACAGTAGGGTTCTGGGTCAATGCTTAATGATTTTCCTATGAACTAGTAAATTTTATACAGAAGAAAACGTTTTCCCCAGTTGTACAGATGGTACCTCCTGTTTTAGGCATTCACCTTGGAAATGCTATTATAATGTTGTTAGGTGCCATCACCTGACTCATATGCTCAACAGAATGAAACACTGCCTGGTCCTGCAACATCCGTACAATTGTTATTATGCTTCAGCCCATTGCTGCTGCCACTGTGTGAGCCCATCTTGTTGGGGGTCTTATTCTTTTTGCTGACCCTCAACTTTACCAAGCATGATGTCCTTGGACTAGTCCTTTCTGATAACTTGTCCAGTGTATGAAAGACTCACCATCCTGGCTTCTAAGGAGCATTCTGGTTGTACTTCTTCTTCCAACACAGATTTGTTTGTTCTTCTGGCAGTCCATGGCACTTTGAATATTCTTCTCCAACACCATATGTCACATCAATTCTTTTATAGTCTTATTCATTGTCCAACTTTCACATGCGTATGAGGCTATTGAAAATACCATGGCTTGGATCAGGTACAAGGGTATAGTCCTCAGACAGATATCTTTGCTCTTCAATACTTTAAAGAGGTCTTTAACAGCAGATTTGCCCAATGCAATACTTTGTTTATTTCTTGGCTGCTGCTTCCATGAGTGTTGATTATAAGTTGTCATTTATTGAGTACTGACTATGTGCCAAGGCTGCTCTAGCTACTCCATAGACCTTTTTATTTTAGCCCAAAAACCTTGAGGTTGATCGTTGTACAAATACTGAGTTTGAAGGCCCCAGAGTAGTAAAATAATTTTCCAAAGAGTTGGTGATAGAATTAGAATTTGAACCCAAAGCTTTGTGACTTCAGAGTACATTCTCCTCTGTGATACTCCACTGTCTTCCTTCCTGTGGAGTGTGAGTGTGGACAGTTGTAGTCAGGCTCTCCTGATAGGGAAACTTGCACAGCCAGGCAAAGCTCACCTCCACTGGAAGCAAATTAGTGTCCTGAGCCCTCCAGAGAGCAGCATCTCAATTCAAACTCTGTCAGGTAGACACTACCCTACCCTGTCCCACAGCTCTTTTACACTTCCAGGTAGTCTCAGTGTACTAAACTGTAATGTTTTGCTGTTTGTTTTAGTTATATTGCTCTTCCTTTTTTTGTAGCTTATTTCAGTTTTGAAAAATTTGCCTGAAAGTTTGAATAGTGGAAGGCAACAGTCGACTGAGGGGGTGACATATGGTGAGTTGAGACTTTCGTGTTTGTTTTTTTTGCAAGGTTTAGTTTGTGATGATGATATTGGATTAGCCTGACTTCTTCACTTATACAACTTCCTTAATTTTCACTTAAGGTTAAGTGCCTACTTTAAAAAAAAATTGTATTTAATTATTTTTTTTAAAGCTTCTTAGTGTGATTTGAGTGAAGTGTAAAACATTTGCATGATGCAAAATGTAAAGCTGTTTAAAAGATCATGCTCAAATAAGTCTTGCTTCTGCCTTGTTGTTCTTAAATGCCATCTAGTCTTTTCTGACTCATTGTTGTTGTTGTTAAGTGCCATCGAGTCGGTTCCGACCCATAGCGACCCAGTACAGGGTTTCCGAGTAGGGATCCTCTATAGGGATTCCTTGGAGCAGCTGGTAGATTTGAACTGCCAACCTTGTGGTTCACAGTGCAGTACTGATCCTGTCACGCCACACCAGGAGTCCACTTAACCCCTACAACTTAATGGTGCTTCATCAGTAAGTCATAGTCTCAGGTTGCAGCAAGGCTAGTGAAGCTGTTTCATCACTTGGTTGAGGCCATGATCACCAGGTCTTTCTGGTGGAAAGCAGTGTTTTTTCCTTTGTGATGAGCTGGTTCAGACATACCTTGGAGATATTGTCATTTCAGTTCAGACCACTGCAATAAAGTGAATATCACAGTAAAGTGAATCGTGAATGTTTTCGTTTACAAGTGGTTATCAAAATTATGTTTACACTACACTATAGTCTATTAAGTGAGCAATAGCATTATGAAAGAGCTTGAACTGTTTTGAGAATTGTCAAAATGTGACACAGAGACACGACATGAGCACAAGCAGTTGAAAAAATGGCAATACTGACTTTCTCAACACAGGGTTTCCACAACCTTCAATTTGCAAAACACACAATATCCGCATTACATTGGCACCATGTAAACTATCCTGGTCCCTAATAGCCTTTTGCCTAATGTTTTTAGCGTAAATGGAAGCTTCTTGCCTGAAATGAATTATGTTGTTGTTAGGTGGCATCAAGTCAGCACCGACCCATAGCAACCTTATGTACAGCAGAACGAAACACT